GATCAATGTTTTTTAATTATTTTTGCTAAAATTATTAATATTAATAGTACCTAAATTACTAATTGTTTTTTTTTTTTTTTAAATCAAATTTAAATATCATTTCAGTTCACTCTATTACACAYGATACAAGTCATCCACAATGAGAGAATAGTAAATGAAAATGACGAGGTATCTTCTCAGCATCACATCGGCAATTTTTCTAAGAATTTGCTTTCAGAAGATGCTTGTACACGTAGTTTAAGTCAAACAATCGTAGGTATACCTAATATTTTATTATATAATTTTTTTTTAAACACATCACAGAACCAAAACTCTTAACGATACGCGAATGTTTATAATAAGTCTGTATAGGTAATAGCTTTAATTATTAAACAGAATTATTTTTAGTTGAAGAAGTGAAGAACAATCTGCATTATTTCAAATAACTATTAACTTTCTCAAAATATTATTATACCGATTTAAATTTTACAAAGTTATTTTATATATTATGATGTTACAAAACACCATTTTTGAAAAACCTATATTTTGATTATTTTTGCCATTTTTAAATTTTTACTTTTTTAATGATTACCTATATATCTCATATATTTTTTATTCCATATTCAGAAACGAATTATTCTAATGTAGGTATAAAAACGAATTTTGATTGATTAGGTGTATATAGTTATGACTTAATGAGTATTATTCTAACCTTTCTTTGGTTTTTATAGGACATTTAAATTCTATCTTAAAATATTTAATTTTAAAATAAGGAATTAAAGATGCACCTATTTGTTGTCTTTCAAAAAATAAAAACCTAAACAATTGTAAAAACACAATWTTTTTTGTCCAAAAATTTTGACTTGGTGCGATAGCTAAATTATGTGAATACATTTTTTTTTTCTAAAATATTCATAGTCATCGAAATAATAAGTCTTATACATTCAAAAATCATCCTTAAGTTTACGATGAGTATTGTTTACTCACAGCAGGCGGGCGTACATTACATAGGTACATAATTATCTTATCTAGTATTTCCTTATTCCGGAATTGACATTACAGGAAGTAGGTATAGGTATATCGCGTAAAACTATGCAACTTCACTACCTATAGATAGTTGCACACTCGCACATCTCGAGGTCTTGGAATGTGTTGTGAACACGGACGAGTATGTTTGGCTGTRTTTAATGCGTATGCTGTATGCACACAAAATCGTGTACACATTATTTATAATAAAAAACATAACATTATAAATATATCATATACATCCAGTGTTTAAAGTGGCAGAAAACTACGAAGGGGGACTGTGACCTCAATATTTATAATATTTTTTGAGTATATTATCATAATACAAAATGTAATTTTAATAAAACTATCTATCTATATCTATATAATTTCAGTAAAAACATGAATTTTCACCAGGGCTTGGATTGATGAAGTGCCCTTATAAAAATATTTAAAAATTCTCTTTCAAAAAATGAATTTATGACTAAACCTCTAAATRATTTCTTTAAATTGATCCCTAATTTCTTCAAAAATCTAAATAAATTTGTGAATCGTTTTGTTTTAAAACCAGATTAACTAATGTTGTTTTAGTTCAATGTATGTGTAGGAATTTATATTTTATATCT